GTGCATCAGCTAAATCAACCCATCTCTTGATCTGTTCTTGGGTCAACTGATTATACCAGACTACTGTTGGTCCAATGAGGCTATCATGGAATGAGTGAATTAACATATCTTCAGAACTTAAATATACTTCCATTTTTCTATAAAACATTCTCAGATGGATTAGGGGACAACTGGTGCCATTATATTTCTCAAAATATAACATTATTATATATTAAAACCAAGAATCATGGGATTAGTATTTAAAAATAATAAAACAAAAGTTAGTGCTCTTATTAATATAATTGAAAGTGTAGTATCCAATATAGTGCTCTTAAAAAAACATAATATTAAAGTAAAATAATATATATTTTTTAAAAAAACGTGAATAGTATTAAAATATAATAAAAGAAAAATTAGTGCTCTTTCTTTCTAATTTATTATTATTATTTTTAATAATTAATTTATTTTATTTTATTTTAAAAGCTAATATAGATTATTAGGATATCTATGTGATAAAAATAATAAATAAGTATTAAATTTAAAATAAATAATAACCAAAATAAAAATATATGATTAAATAAAAATAATATAAATTATTAGTCAATATTCGAAATATATAAAATTTATATATTAAAAGTATAAATAATCCAAAAATATTATTTAAATATATATAAATATATGGTTAGTGACTAAAATGAAAATAAATAAAAGGTGAAGACAAAATTAAAAGATATAGAAACCTAATTTTGGTGACTTTAATAGAAGATTATAAAATATAGGGGCCATGGACGCAATTTAAAAATTTTGAAATTGCACACACACACACTCTCACCAAAATGACATAGTTTTGATTAATGTATAAATACCCTAATTTTGGCTCAAGATAAGAAATTCTTATCATTTTCTCAATTTTGTTTCTCTTTCTAAAGAGAGAGAAGCTCTTACTTCTCTCTAAATTCTCTTATCGGAGGAAGCTCCGGTCACCGGCAGACCACCGCCCGACCATCGTCGGACACTATTCATGTCACTATTCTGATCACTATTCACCGTCGACCATTATTCACAGTGGTCGAAAAAAATAAAAATAGGTCAAATCATAGATCGACTCACCCTAAACTCGAAATTATCCTTCTTTTTTCTTAAAACACTTAAAAATAGCTTAGATCTAAGATTTTACCTTCGGTAAAACAATTTTCTGACGACCTTTGGACTTCGACGAAGGTAAGATCTCCACTCATTTCTTCTCCTTTTGGTTTGTTTCCTGCTTGTTTGGTGTTTCTTGCTATCTTCCCGTTCTTCTCGTTGTGTTTTTGTTGTCTCTCCTCCTTTCTTTGCAGATTCGAAGGCCTTTTATAGGCTTCAAAAGGCCTCAGAACACCGTTCATTTTGGTGAGTCACCAGATCTACGATGGTGACTCACCATATAGATGATGAAGTGTGCGGCTATCCTCACTTCTTCTGGAGTCTTTTGTGCGACGGTGATGTCATGGTGGCGTCGGAGTAGACCACTTGGAGGAGGTAGCGTCGTGGTAACGTCGGAGTGGACCATCTGGAGGCGGCGGCCGAAATATCCCCATAGGGTTGGTGAACCCTATGATTCTTCTAGATCATATCTGGACAGTTAGATCTCTCCAGATCTAACGGTTGAAGATGATGGCGACTGTGATGAGATATGAAAACTCTAGAAGGGTTTTGGGCCTCCATCTGGTTTGGGTAAAACGGGCCTGGTGATTGGGCTCTGGGATTTGTAATATATTTGTTAAATAATAATAATAATAATAATAATATATAATAATAATAATAATAATAATAATAATAAAATGAAATGAAAAAAATTAGTGTTTACACATCTCAGGTGAGTTTCAGTTTCTATCCAGTATATCATACTTCAACTAAGACTTAGACGACTTGGGTTGGAGGTTCATGGGATGCAATGCAACACACTCAAACATCTTCGACAAAATATGCAATTGAGGGTGAATAGGATCATATTGTATATGGTCAACAAAGTAGTCGCCAAGTCGATTCAGTAACGACAATGATGATGTCAAATACCATAACCTCATCACCATATTTCGAATGTGGATCTCATAGTGTGTTAAGTATACCTCATTGGAAAGATGAAGGCGACGACGACGACAACGATGATCAAGGCCAACGACCCCGCCGTACTCGACGAGCCTCGCACCATTATCATTCGAATACTCCACAGCATCCTCAAGAACTTAGAAAATATAAATAAATTTTATTAGTTTGTAAACAATATTCTTTTAATAAAAATAATAATTATTTTTTAATTATTTTTTTTAATTTAAACCGGGACAACTCGTCAGCTCGAGGTGACGAGTTTCTTTGTGACTGTTAAAGAACTACCCGTTTGACCCTCTCTCTTTTTTTATTTTTAATTTTAAAATTGTTTTTCAATAATCAAAAAATATTTTATAAACGGGCTCGTCATCTTGACGTGACGAGTCCTGGAAAAAATAATAAATCACATGGAACCCACTCAACCGGGTTCATTAAAAATAATATTATGTGAAACTCCATTAAAAAATAATATTACGTGAAACTCGTCCCCTTGAAGTGACAAGTTCGTTCAACACTGTAACAAATAATATTACGTGAATTATTACGCCGGAGTTGCTCTATTCACCAGGGCTGCTCTGGTGAAAGGATGAGCCCCAGGGTGTTTGTTGTCTACAGGCAGGGCATGGCTACCTTGCTCATTGCCCCAATTGATTTTTTCTCAAGGAGGTAACTCTGCAATCTTTTCTCTTTTGGGACGGGGTTTAGGGTTTGTGTGTGTATATATTATATCTCACATGCTTTATTTGTTGTTGTTGTTGTTGTTGGCAGGAAAAACTCAGCAAGTTGCAGTTTGGGATTGAAGACTTTTGCTTGGATATTGCTGGCTTCTATTCTTGGGTGGATGCTGCTGGCTTATTTATCTATATTTTTATCATCCTTTTTCTTAGTGAACTCTACATTATAATGATTTGTTATTTCGCTTGTTTTTGCAGTGTTACAGTCAATCAGAATGCATATTTCGAGGGGCTATACTTGTCGTCTTCAACAATAGCAACCGCAATGACTAATCTAATTTTAGCCGCTACCTTTTTCATGACAGCCATTCTCGGGTAATAATACACAACACAATCTGGGATGCTTTTAAAACTTTGTGGGGGGGGATTTTAACGTTTTTTTCTCTCTTAATCTTGGTATGATTAGGATGGAGAAAGTTAATATTCGAAGCCGGAGCCATTTCTATGGCGGTATTTAAAGGGCCAAAGCCACTGAACACAGAACTATAACCACCAAATGGTTTGTTCAGCCCTGGAGGTGAAACCTGGTTTCTGGGTTGTTTACTTCTACTTGCAAGCAGCTTTTTCTGGGCACTTTGGATGGTCTTGCAGGTACATATATATATATATGTGTATATTCTCCTCCACATGATAAGGACAATGAAAATGTAGATCACTTGAGTGATAATCTCACACAGGTCCCAATTTCGGCGAGCTGCCCGGATCATTTGTATTCATCAACGTGGATGTGTTTCTTTGTCACCCTAGAAGCAGCAATAGTGGCATTGTTTGTAGAGAGAGATGTGGAAGCTTGGAGCCTCAATTCACAACTTGAGCTTTCTTATATACGGTCACTCATCATTATTCCTCTACACGTTCCATGTTGATGATAAGAATGGCGGTAGTGATTGGCTGCTCATCGTCAAACACCATCACAGTCTCAACATATGTCATTATTTCATTTCAAAGCATTGAATCTTAAAATGAGTTGAAAATGCCTTCTTTTTTTCATTTCGTTTAGGGATTCGCCTTGGCGGTGTCGTTCTTCGTTTAAGCTTGGGTCATTTCACAACGAGGTTCACTCTTTGCTTCCATGTTCAATCCCCTATGCACTGTTATTGTCACTGTATTTGCTGCTGTTTTCCAACACGAGGAGAAATATACAGGAAGGTAAAAAAAATAAACATTTGCTCCTTTTTTCCCCCATTAAAAGTATCATTCATTTGTTAGTTAACTTCTGGTTTTGGCTCAGCTTGGTTGGTGCTCTTGCGGTGATTGTTGGTTTGTACGTTGTGCTATGGTGTAAAGCTAAAGACCTCGAAAAGATGGATCCCAAGCAGCTTAACGATCAGGCAAGGGCCGTGCAAGTGATCATAGATGAATCCTCTGAGAAGACTGATCTACAAGAACCACTTCTGTATCACAAATCCATTAACGATGATGATATGGGGATTAAGCAGAAATGACAAAATATTTGTCTTGATAAAATTATAAATGGCTCAGATCAACAAGAATTTATCCAAACAATATCGTAAAATTTAGGGTTTCTTTTCATTATGGTAGACTTTCTTAATTTTTCTGTGATGGATGGAATCCTAATTCAAGTAGAGGTGGCCATATAACTCCATTTCACAGATTTTAACTTAATTTGATCTAACTAATTCAAGTTTGAATCATATCAAAGTCTTTTAGGATGTGTCAAGTTGAGTTTACATTTAAGGTAAAAAATCCAACCCCACATAACATAATACATAGTAATATTTTATATATTTAGGGATAATTATAATAATATTCTTTTCTTTTTTATTTTTTTAATCAGATTCTTATTTTACCTAATAAAAATAATTTTTATATTCATATATATAAGTTAGGTGTGAGATTTAACCTAAAATATTGGATCGGATTTTGAGTTGAGTGGAACCCTCCTAGACTCGAGTCACTTCAGATACATGTGAAAAACTTTAATTTTCGAATGAAATTCGAATGAACCAAAAATCCAACTCATTGCCATCCCTAAATGCAGGGGACTTGAACTCGACTTTCATAGCACCCCGCAACTAGTGTGCATCCCTACCATGCTGATATTATCTTGTCCTGTTAATCATATTAAAAATATTATATCTTTAGATATGATTTTTTAGTATTTAGATGAGATTTTCTAGAGTATTTAATGATTAAATCTCAAAGAAGAGAAAAACAACCTGAAGCATATGGTGTTGGGAACAAAAGCTCAAAAGAGATTGGATTAAATAGTGTTCAACCTTGACACTTTGTACCTTAAAATGCTATGAAACAACCAGCAGAAATATGCAGGTTCATGAATCAAGACATCAATTCGTACTCAGTTTTTGACCGACTCATCGACCACAGTACATTAATGCTGCTTGATGGATTAAAACAAATCTCCATTTCAAGCTTATTAACTCAAAGAATTCTAAAATAAAAATTGAAACTTAACCAATGACACGATCCAGATGAATTCTCTATGCCAGAGAGGGGTCACCTTATTTCCACTGTGCAATCACAGAGGGCCCGGGAAAGTACCATTCTCCCTCTGTTCATTCCACTTCTCAATCTACAGCAATTAGGCAAATCCAAATAATTAAAATAAGAAACACAAGTTAAACATGTTCATTTTTTCTTTATAAACAGATGCTCATATAAACACTAGAGGAAATGAACAAAATAGATTAGAAAAAGTAGAATGTAAATGGTGAAACACCGGGAAGGCTATTCTGTTATTCATTGATCAACCAGCCAACCTAGCAGGGAACAATACATTACAGCACAATCACCGGAGTATATAAAATCCCAATAAGTAACGAAGTGTTCACCACTTACCAATCTACCTGAACTGGGACAATTAAAGTAGTAATTGGTAACTCAACCGATCCTGAGCATAGTCTATAAATTCACATACTAGTTTCATCAACTTATACACCTCTATGGATATGCATGAGCTAGCATAGGAAGATTCATGATTACAAAAGCTATTCAATGACAATCCAAGTAGGTACTTATTTGCTTTCTTTCTTTCTGTATCATCATCAGCAATATCAATCGTGAACTATGATTCTATCGACATATCATATAGCACACTCAAATGTCGAAGTATAATCACACGATATATTTCTTCTGCTGATTCAATAAGATAAAATACAGGCAGAAAAATCTACAATGAACCTAAACACAATATAGAGGTTTGGTGAGAAAAACAAGCAACTCAAACTTAAGCCCTTGAATGTCGGTGGATAATTCATATTTACAACTGTTATGATGTGTATGCATCAGTTGATATCCAAAACCATGAAATATGCCAGAAGCTTTACAATAATGCAAGACATATAGAAGTTATTAAGCTTGTGAACAACAGAAATAGGTACCAGGAAGTAAAAGGACCAGCACATATTAATAAAATTTATATGAAATAAAGTACACATTCTCTACAACAAGGCAAACTCTAGCTCAATTAAGATAATGAAAAAGAACAAGATATATACTCACCCATTCACCAGGACAAAGAGAACGATAGTATTTGGCAAATCTTGCACATTCATTAGATTCTTCACCCTTTGCAGCCAAGCACCTGTAGTTGATTTGAAGGTTAAAAAAAATAAATTTAATAGTTTCTAACAAGCAGAATTTTAAAATAAAAATAAATGTACCTGTGGAACTCAATGTAGCGGGTGAAACAATGTCTAGTTTGATTTGTTGTAGGGAAACGGAAATCAGCAGGGGCTGTTTTCAGTTCAATCTGGGAGAATACAAGAAAAGAAGATAGTATGAAAAAAATATGTGAGAACTAATAGATGACAACCTGATGTGAATTTGTTACTTATCAGTTATCAGCTCAAAGTGAAAATTCCAATTATGAGATTCCAGATACCAAAGGAAATATACAGTAGAATAAATATACACATCCATTATCCATAAGTTCATAATCCATCTAGCATGAATACACCTCATTAATCTTTAACTTTATTATACTCAAATAACTTATTAATCTTTATAAACTTCAATGATCAACAATCTATGATAATACATGAAACAACGCAGTATTATGCACACAAATTCCTCATTTGATGTGGACTGGAGCCTAATACAATACTGATCAATGAGGGTTGACCCCTTCTAACTCAAACAACTAAGTTAAGGTACAAAACTTCTGGAACATCCAGCTTAAAAATTACGTCACGCGAAACGAGTAAAAGACTTTTTCCCTCTAAAGCGAAAAACTTTCAGATTCTTCAAATCGGATGACTTTCAAAATTGAGACGGTTCCCTTATTTGTTCAAGCATTTGGAGGGAATGAGAAAAATCACAGTCAAAAACCTATAAACTGAGCAAAAAGGTTTCATTAAAAACACCAAAATGCCGGGCCGTCTAAAGTAAAGATGAAAAGAGTGAACAAACGTGTGATCAATAGAGGAAACCTCAATCGAAAAATTGATTTATATAAATATATTTATTTGGTTTTCTTTTCTATATCCTACTTATTCTTATAAAATAATCGAAAAATAAAAGAAATGAAGAGAAAATTAGAGGCTACCTCGTCTGCCATGACTGATCCGATCATCGAAGCAAAGGACGGCGAATCGCTGGGATTTTCTTTTTCCCTGACGTACTTTAAATTTGGTAATAGATGAATAGCCAACAAATAATCGCTAATCTTTTGTTTTATTTCCTTAAACTATGAATAAAAATTATTAAAGGAAAGGTTTTTTTTTATTTTAGAAAATTAATAAAAGAGAGGTTAAATAAAGGAAATGATATATTTATTCCTTATTTAAACCATTAAAATTAATAAAAAGAGAGAGAATGAAATGAAATTGAACTTTTCTTGGAATTTTTTAATTATTATCTATGAACAATATTAAACAAAATAAAAGTATTAAAGTATGCATGGAACACGGTCGTTTATGTTTTTTTTATTAAACCTAGTCGTTTACTTTTGATCATGTATTATAAGAATACAAATAATTATACTTAAAATTACTATTATGTTATGAGTAATCATAGAATTATTCTAATATAAAATTTAGGGTAAACTTCATCGATGACCACTAAACTATACTAAAAAAATCACTTTGATCATACAGACCCCTCAACTATTTAAATGATTCATTCAAGTCACCCTTCTTTAATTTTTAAAAGATATGGTCGCTTGTCTGATAATAAAAATGAAATAATTATATATTTGGTCATCAATACTTATGCATTCTATAAATTTGATCCTAATTTTAATTTAATTTAAAATAATTAACCTTCCAATCCAAAGATGCCACATGTCAACATATTGTTATGACACATTTTTAAGTAATACGTGTTATTATATGATTGGAGAATTATTTTTAATTAATTTTAATATGTTAGATAAGAGGATTTGAACCAAGGACCTTTGATGCACTTAGGCAAGCCTTGACCACTGGGCCAACAACTACATCTACTACTATATTGCAAACTCATATATATATTATGTTTTCTATTATTTCATACATACACACATGTATTAAATTGTTGAAACAAGTCTAATAAATAAATTATATTTTTCTCACACACATATATAATTATAGGTATTACAAAATTTATAAATAAAAATGAGCTCAATTTTATTTATATTTTTAAATTAGATTACTTTCTTCATAATTATTTTTAAATACTTATATATGAATTATATTTAAAATTTGTTAGAGAATCCAAAGTCACAAAAAAACAAAAATAATTGTGAAAATAAAAAAAATTAATTTTAAAATATAAAAATAGTAAACTCATTTTTATTTATAAATCTTATATTACGTGCGTGAAATGACCATCCAGCTCAGTTGGTAGAGCACAGGGTTCTTAACCTTGAGGTCGTGGGATCGAGTCCCACGGAGGGCATTTCATAATTCGGAGGTCTCTTACGGAAGCTGCTCTCAATCTGGTGTTGGGGGTAGCCTACTATCTTATCTCCCCCTTACCCCATACATATGGGAAAAAGGGACAGCCATTTTTTTTATATTACGTGTGTGTATATATATATACACACACGTATGAAAAATATAATTTATTTATTAGATTTGTTTCAATAATTTAATAAATATGTGTATATGTGAAATAATAAAAACACAATATATATAAGAGTTTGCAATGTAATTACATATGGAGTAATTAGCCTGGTGGTTAAGGCTTGTTAAAGGGCACAAAAGTTCCCTGATTCGAAACCTCCTAGCAGCAACATATGTAAACACGTGTTACAATAATATGTTCACATGTTGCATCTTTAGATTGGAGGGTTAATTATTTTAAATTAAATTAAAATATGACTAAATTTATAGAATGTGTAAGTATTGAGGACCAAATGTATAATTATGTCATTTTTATTAACGGACATATCACCATATCTGTTAATTTAACAGAGAGTTGCTTAATTGAGCCATTTAAAAAGTGTTCTGGTCTCTTTGATCAAATTAAAACATTTGCAGTCAAAATAAATTTTGATATTAGTTTAATGGTCACCTGTGTAGTTTATCCTAAAATTTATTAAGTGATATTATTGATAAGAAAAACATCATATTTTAGAAGTTTTTAAATTCGAACAAATACATCTACAACATATGTGTGTGTTTTCAATGACTTTAACAAAATTCATATAATAATAGATTATTTAAAAGCATTTTAAAAATGAATTATTTGTTTTTACATAATTATTAATTAAATAATATATATATATATATAAGAAAAATTATTATAAAGATAAATATTTTTAATTTAGTTTATTCAAGGCAAGACATAATAATTTAGTTTATATACTTATTTCAAAATTTTAGTATATCATCCCCGAAAGCATGAATCATAATCCTTATTATTGCTAATTTTGAGCCCGTGTGATGCACAAAACAGCAGTTTCAATAAATTATTATTTTATGATATTATCTTTTAATTTTTTAAAGATATAATGATGATATATTGTTTCAAAAGATTTAGAAAAACAATTTTTTTGTCAAATGGAAGCCTTCGTTAAAATGAATACTTGGGGAATGTGGCAACAACCCAACAACACACAAGGCATCACCAAGGCCCATAAACAAACAGTCAAGCCCAACATATGCAGGGGCAATGGTTTTTTTGGCCCAATAGGGTGTTTAGAATAAAAAAATAGGTTGTTGCCCATTCTCAACTTTTAATTAGGGATCTGCGACATTTATAATAGTATTGGGCGAACTCGTCACCTCGAGGCGATAAGTTCATTGAAATATAATTTTTTAATGGACCCGAATGAGCTTGTCCCACGTGAGCCATTAATTTATTATTTTTAAACGGGCTCATCACCTCAATGTGACGAGTCCATTTAAAAAATTTATTATTGAAAAAAATTGTAAAATTAGAAATTAAAAAAGAGGGTAATTCGTCACATCGAGGTGACGAGTTTCTTAGAATTCAAAAAACTAGTCGTTGGTTAATGAGCATTTGTGCAACGATCACAATAGAACTCGCCACGTAAAGGTGACGAGTTTGCCCGAGTTAAATTTTTTAAAAATAAATTAATTAAATAATAATAATTTTTTATTAAAATAACATTGTTTACAAACTAATAAAATTTGTTTATATTTTCTAAGTTCTTGACAATGTCGAGGAGTGGTCTAATGATAATGGTGCGGGACTCGTCGAGTACGCATGGGTTGTAGGCCTTGATCTTCGTTATCATTGTCGTCGTCGTCTTTATCTTGTCGAGGAGGCGTACTTAACACACTCTGAGATCCACCTTCGAAATACGGTGATGGACTTATGGTATTTGACAACATCATTTTCGTTTTTGAATCGACTTGGCGACTATTTTGTTGGCCATATATGATATGATCTCATTCACCCTCACCCGCATGTTCTGTCGAAGATGTTTGAGTGTATTGCATTGCATCCCATAAACCTCCAACCCAAGTCGTCTGAATCTCGGTTGAAATATGATATGCAGTATATAAATCGAAACTTGCCTGAGGTGTATAATAGTAATCTTTCACTGTAGATGCTGAAATAAAAGAAGAAGACGTCGATGATTTCTTCTTGGACTTGATGAATCTAGCCTGATGTTGTTCCCATTCTCCCTTCTATTGTGGTGTCATGAGATATGATTTCCTATTTGCTTCGTAATTTCGGAGATAGGGAGAATGGTCGATGTTGTAAGCGTGCTTCGTTGGCCAATTTTTGGTATATTTCTCATGCGTATCAATTCTATAGAACGCATTAATTCTTACGATTTGCATAGGAATCGATTGATGCAACGCATACGCGTGCCACTCAACAATCGTAAAATGTAATAACGGAAACCACGACACGCCATATCGGACCCTTCAAAAAATTACGATGGCAATAGCAGGTATATCTCGTCGTTAACATACGAAAGCTAAGAAAAGTGTAAGTATTAATTATCAAATTTAATATATATAATTTTTAAATTAAAAATAATAATAAAAGAACAAATGTATATCACATATCGACCGACAATATCAATCCTCATCTGTATATCTTTTGTAGTGGCACACGACAACTTTGTCTAGGTTATTTTATGACACCATCTAAAATATTTAAAAATAGAAAAAGATTAAAAACAAATAAAAAAATTAATTAAGTTAATCAAATTTTTAAAAATAAAAAAATTACCTTCCAACAAGAGGAAACTCAACTGTGGTTGTTGTAATCGGCGTAAAAAACAGGAACCGATACCTAGCCAAGTATTGTAGCAATATTAGACAACCCGTTACATCGACTTTTCGACCCTGCTCGACAATTGTAGCATTGCAAAGCTCCCGATACAAAAAGTCTAAAATCGTCTAGCCCCAGCTGGTATTGCGACACTCAGTGAAGTCATTTAATATTCGAAGATATTGAGTATGCGCTAAATTATCAGACTTACATGGTAATAATACTCCTCCGTTCAATTAAAGAAGATATGCTCGGGACGTAAAAATAACCTCGTTCTCAATAGAATCAACCGTCACTTGTAATTTGAACTCCAACCATGTCATCCATACCCGATATCCATCGATGAACTCGGATGGTGGAAACTTTCCTGTAATTTGGTAAATCAACATCGTCTCCGTTCATTAAAGAAGATATGCTCGGGACGTAAAAATAACCTCGTTCTCAATAGAATCAACCGTCACTTGTAATTTGAACTCCAACCATGTCATCCATACCCGATATCCATCGATGAACTCGGATGGTGGAAACTTTCCTGTAATTTGGTAAATCAACATCGTGTGGTTGTAGTTATTCTGTCTCACCATGGGGCTCCATTCACATGAACACCTCTGAGATGTTCAAGCAATTATATATATATATATATATATATATATATATATAGAATATATATCATAATGAAATCCTCTCAGAAATATCTAAGGTAAACAATCTTCTAAAAGTATAATTAAAAACAATACACACGTAATAAAAGCCGGCATGGACATATCGCTCATCACAAAATCGAGACTTATTACGAGATTTCATAACTTATCACAAAATGTTAATTATCAATTTATTATAGTAACCGATACTTTATTCTTCACACAAGATGACCAATATCAATATCATTACACGATGGTCTGTTTCTTCTTCTGAAACATCATCAAATCCGTGTATTGACCATATCAAGTCCGGATATTGACCAAGACCAAATTTTCGAATACTGACTAGTACTCACAAATTTTTTCTGTTGGCTCATCATCGTCTAACTGGTCAATAAAACCGGAATTTGGGCTGAAAGTTGATTGGGATTTGGATTAGAGAAAGGTTGTGGGTTTTGAGAAAACTTAGTTGATTACTACCCTAACTGACCCAACAATACTACTTCTAGGTTCAACAACATACAATGTAACATCATCTTGTGAAACACTAATGTAAAGCAATGAATCGTTCAACATCTTCATTGTCGGTTAACAAATAACTTTACCATTTCTCTGATAAGATAGCCTAAATCCACTTAGGGCTCTAAATTCAATTTATTTGAAACACGTAGCATAGAGTTTCATAGTTAACTTGTAAAGACAATTTTAGTTGAAGATTTTGGGTAAAGGCATATATTGTAAAACACCATTACATTATCCCATGACCCTCCAAAACACAATCTATCCAACATGATCAACATTAGATGATTTCATGGTTGTAACTAAACAAACGAGATGCGAAACTAGACCTGTTGCCGGATGGGGAAGGATGTCGTTGGATATAGGACGGATGTCGCCGAGAGAGTGATAGATGGAGATGGAATGAGTTGCGATTTAGGGATTTAGTTTATGATTTCAGTGTTATATACCCAAAATTTCAGTGTTGTGATTTACAGATTCTCGTTGCGATTTACGGATTATCGTTGCGATTTACAGATTCTCGTTGCGATTTACGGATTATCGTTGCGATTAACGGATCGCGTTGCGATTTACGGATTATCGTTGCGATTTACGATACGCGTTGCGATTTACGGATACGCATTGCGATTTACGGATACGCGTTGCGATTTACGGATACACGTTGCGGTTTACGGATACGCGTTGCGATTTACGGATACGCGTTGCGATATACGGATACGCATTGCGATTTACCCATACGCGTTGCGATTTACGGATACACTTGCGATTTACGGATACGCGTTGCATGCGAATTGTACTATCGCATCGCGATTTTCAGAATCGCGTTGCGATTCTGGAAACTGATTTGCGATTCTGGGATCGTTGCGATTTTTATTTCGCGTTGCGATTTTGTTGGTCATTTTGGCAAATCCAAAAAAGTTGGTTAAAATCGTATATTATAACTTTTTTTTGGTCACTGAGGCGATTTTCTCTATTTTAAACCTATTATCGCATTAAAAAGGTATTATAACATTTATGAGAGAAGAACAATGACTCAAATTATGATTTTTTTTAAATATAAATGGTTAATTTAATTTAATAATTTTAAAATTATGACCAAACTGACTTATTATATAAGTTTTGAAGATTAAAATTATTATTGTATTATATTATATCGTTATTTCTTCCAATACTCAACTATTAATGACCTATTTATAATAATATTTCAATTAAGCGATGTATTTGTAACTTAAAAAAAATCATTTATCATCAAACATTTAATTTAATGTGACTTTAGACATATTTTACTTATTCTTAGAACAAATGTGTACCTCTTCCGTTCTTGCTTTACTAATTATTTTACATTAGTGCTATTAATTTAATGCCAAAGGCAAAAATTTTTAGAAAAATGACAGTAAATCAAGCGTACCTATTCAAACAATTCCGTGTATAATAAATTACGTATTTAGAATAATAATAATAATACATTAAAAAACATTGATTAAATAGGGTGAAAAAAGAAAATATCTTTCTTAAAGATTCAATAAATATATATTATTAATTAATTAATTTTAGAATAAATTACGTATTTAGTATTCAAATCTTTAATTCTAGTCTATTTTAATGTTTAAACTTTTATTTTTTTAAATCATATATAATTATTAGTTTTAGTTACTGTCATTAAAAATTTAACGTGTTTAGTACTTAAAATATTAGTTTTGGTTAGTTTAAACACATAAATTTTTAATTTTTTCAAAATTTAACGTTAAATTTTAAACAGAGTAATAAAATGAAACAAAAACTAAAGTTTCTAACGACATATATTAAAATGAAACAAAAACTAAACTTTAGATGTTATTTTGAAAATTTGAAAGTTTAGGTATTAAAACGGATCAAAACTGATAGTTTAGATACTAAATACTAAATTTACCCAAATATTAAATAGATAATATATTGAAATAAAAATTACTATATTTTACATAAATTTTATTTTACAGAAGGGGGTTAAAAATACGGGGTAAGTAGAGCATTATAAGCTCTGTTTTGAAAATCGGACCGGATCGGTCGATTCAACCGGTTTAATCGAGAATCGTTGTTTAATTCGGTTCAATTTAAACCAGTTGAATCGTTACTAGTGAATCGGCTAGAACCGTTGAACCATTCGAACCGAACCGGCTGAAAACCGGAAAAAACCAGAAATTTTGTTTTTTTTTTTAAAAAAAATTAAACCAAACGTCGTTTGTTAAACGAGCCAAGTCGAACTCGAGTATTGTTGAGCTCGACTCGAACTTGCAAACTTTAAAAATAAGCTCAACTCCACTCAAATTCACAAGTTAAAAATTATCAAGTTCAACTCGAACTCGAAATATAATATTGAAACTTGAACTCAAAAAGGCTTGAACTAAAAAAAAATTTAGAAGCTCAATTGAAGCCTAAAATTCGAGCTTGATTGAAGTGAAAGAATAGTTCACTCAATGCTCACCAAAAAGCTCCATGATTTTGAATGTCAAATTATCTTTATTATTTATAGAAGTTAGTTGTGATGTTCTTCTATGTTTCTTAGCAATGTGGGATTGTTTTATTCTCATATTTTTACTTTTTAGACTTTTGGGATGCACTTCTATGTTTCTTAGCCATGTGGATTATTTTTTTTAAAAAAAATTAAACCAAACAATATCATTTTGTTATGATTTTTTTAGCCCAAAATTATTTTTTAATTATAATTATATAATTATATTTATTATTTAATATGTTTTACCTTAAATATTACGTTGTAGTTAATTTGAATCATTTTGTTTCACTTGATTTTATAGTTTTTAATTTATATATGTTATGACTTGCTTTGAATATGACTTGTGATATAAAAAATTATTTTTTACTAAATATTTTTAGTATTTTTATTTATTTTTTTAAATAATCATGATATCGTTTGATTTTTCTGACCGATCAAATAGATTTGATCGATTAAAATAATGAACCGATATTATAGTCTGTTCGCTAATCGATCCGGTTCTGAAAACCATGATTATAAGGTTATATTAGAAGACAATCTGTTTTACAGGTCTCATCCACTCTGGCCGTCCTTTAACGCGTTCACGCGTATTGCTTGTCGCTTCGATGTGGGTGACCACTATATATAAATCCCTTCATCGCCTTCTCTCGATTAGCAGGTGCAGGGAAAATCATCTCTCTCTTCCCTTTTTCTTCTGCACCTGCTTTTTTTCTCTCTCTCTACAAATCTACTTTTTTTTTCATAAAATCAATCTCTCATTTTCTTTCTTGTCATATTGATCTGTTGATTATATGATAATTTCTTTTTGACAAAAAAGGAAAAGTTCTAGAAATATTAATTAGTACGACAATGCCGTCTTTGGAGGAGGAGCTGTTCCCGTCGACGCCGGGGAAGTTCAAGATCGACAGAGGACACAGTATGAATCGTCAATTCCATCGTTGTTTCGCTTCGACCAGCACCATGTTCTTATGGGCTCTTTTCTTGATCGCATTGACGGCGTCGTATTTGAGTTTCCAGAGTTTCGTTGATTCCGGTAGCCGGTATTTCAGTGCTTCGTGGGGTGGCATTCAGTGGGAGAAGCAAGTTCGTAACTCTGCTCAGATCCATCGTTCCGGTGGGATGTCCGTTCTGGTGACCGGAGCCGCTGGTTTCGTGGGGACACACGTCTCACTCGCGCTTAAAAAACGGGGAGACGGTGTCGTTGGGCTTGACAACTTCAATAACTATTACGACCCTTCGTTGAAGAGAGCCAGGACATCGTTGCTCAACAGCCATGGCGTTTTTGTCGTCGAAGGTGATTTGAACGACGGCAAGCTTTTGGCTAAGCTCTTTGACGTGGTGGCTTTTACTCACGTGATGCATTTAGCGGCTCAAGCTGGAGTCAGGTACGCCATGGAAAACCCCAACTCGTACGTTCACAGCAACATCGCCGGTCTCGTCACGCTACTCGAGGTCTGCAAATCCGCTAAACCCCAGCCGGCAATCGTCTGGGCATCATCGAGTTCCGTTTACGGTTTGAACGATAAGGTCCCTTTCTCAGAATCCGACAGGACCGATCAGCCGGCGAGTTTATACGCCGCCACGAAAAAGGCCGGCGAAGAAATCACCCACACTTACAATCACATATATGGTCTCTCAATTACTGGATTAAGGTTCTTCACCGTGTACGGTCCCTGGGGGAGGCCCGATATGGCGTATTTTTCGTTCACGAGAAATATTTTGCAAGGCAAACCGATCACCATATACCGGGGAAAGAATCGGGCCGATTTGGCACGGGATTTCACCTACATTGATGATATCGTGAAGGGCTGTTTGGGTTCATTGGATACATCCGGGGAGAGTACTGGGTCCGGCGGGAAGAAAACAGGGAACGCTCCGTACAGAATATTCAACCTGGGCAATACATCGCCGGTTAAGGTGCCGGAGTTGGTGAACATCCTGGAGAGACATTTGAAGGTCAAGGCGAAGAGGAATATCGTAGATATGCCCGGCAACGGCGACGTTCCGTTCACCCACGCTAACATCAGTCATGCTCAGAGGGCATTGGGGTACAAACCCACAACCGATTTGCAAACCGGGTTGAAGAAATTTGTTAGATGGTATTTATCTTATCATGGTTATAATAACCGCAAAGGTTTACAATAAAATTCATTTTCCCTGTTTTAAATTTTTTTTAATGTAAGGATTTTCTTCGATTCCCCATTATAGAATGAAATAGAAACGCAATGGGGAAAATCAGAAGAAGAAAGAAAGATCAAATTCTTTGCTCTGGGTGGGCAGTGAAAAAGAAAGGAAACGTAACCCCCTATTCATCTTTTCTTTGTTTTTTCCTATTATCTGCAAGTAAAGTCGAAAGATTTGCATTAATTCTGAGTTTATCTTCATATTTTGTCATTTTATAATGTTCATCCCTTTCGATGATAATGTGCCGGAGACTACTCGCAGTGTCGGTGTCGCGTTGGATTATGAAAATGAAAAACATTGCTAATATTGATGCAAAGAGAGACAGCTAAGGAAGAAAGATGACGGGTCAGTGGTGGTGGGGCAACCGCGAAAGGCGGTTGAACCAGGGTGGATGGTCCCACATCTTCCATAAAAGAAAGAAAACAAAATCGTACGGCAGCCGTTGTATTCGGCTAAAACTGTGGGTTTTTCTGACCCACGGCCACGCTCGCTCCAGCTGTAAATCGCAACCAGCTTGGCTGATCGTTACATCGCCCATTATTTCTTTCCGTCGGAGTTTGCCTATAAATTTGGGAACGGAGTGTGCTGTTTTTGTTTTTTCAAATTGAAGAGACGTGTGCAGACTGCTCAAGATCTCACCGACAAAACTTGTTGGGTCCTTGTTTGATTGGTGAACATGTGGGCATGTTCCTTTGCTGATTAACATCCTTAATTATAGCATATTTGATTCCATTAAACAAGCCAACCTTCTCTAGGAAACATTGACTATTTTTTAAAATTTTCACCTATTAGATTAATCCCAAATCAATATTAAGATGATGTTCCATCAACATAATAATGTATTATAATATGAAAATTATACAACGTACTTTGAGATAAATGTTAAATATTTTTACACCGTAGGTGATGTAACAAAGTCACAAAATGCTTGAAGAGTTTACCAGAAATCAAGTTATGATGTGGAATTACGTAAGTTCTGACGCATTGATATTATACATGACGATCGTCCTAATCTTGCTGCCTGCACTGCCCGATAGCACAGTGAAAGTTGGATGGCAAAATAAGCTTTTTATAAAGAGAATCGATAAAGCATAAGATAAATGACATCAAATTCACTAAAGAGTTGGTGGTCAAGTTTAACTTTACCTTTATGTGCCAAGCCATATCATGAAACGCAGGTGACAAGATAAAGTATTGGCTTTTATGTTTCGCTTATTGTATAAATTGATACATGAAGTTATTTCCCCCCCACCCAAAGTAACACGTCAATATAAATAATAATTTATTGGGTAAACTACACTAATGGTCACTAATATTTGAGTAATTTTTATTTTTGTCACTGAAGTTTCAAAAGTAAAAAATTGGTCACCAGTGTTATCGATTTGTAACAAAATGATCACTAACGTTATCGATTTGTAATAAAATGCCCACTCTACCGTCATCCCGTTAAACAAACTTTTTATGGCTGATAGATTTATGCAACTGCAGTGTTACACTAGCTCTTGAGTGCACATAATCGATTTAATGGGCATGTTTGGTGCATGCATTTTATATGCTGCGGAAATATGTCTAATGATTCAATAAAATTAAGATATATATAGTCCTTTTAAATTATTTATTTTCCAAAATTTGCACTCTTTTTCATTTCAAATTAAAACCATCTAATCACTGTAGCCATTACTCATTGTTAATGTGTTTCATGGAAACTAATGTTTCCTCTGGACTTATGCAGAGCAAGGGGTGGACTTGGATGAGTTTTCCCAGTCAACTGCCGGTGTGTAATTTTCTTTTTCTTGAAATTTCAACCTCTACGCTAGGACATGCTTTGTTAGCAAAATAGCTCACCTTAGCAAACTTAATATGGAGATTCAGTAGATTTCTATCTTTTCTATTGAACCTAAACATGCTTAGTTTTTCTTCTTGGACAAATACCTTTGCGTTATTAGTTGAGCTTGGCATTATTCATGAACAAACTTGATTTGAACTGCTAATATGGGTATTAACATATTTGCAGGGAAGTTCCAGGCTGATGTTGGGAAAGCTTGGGCCTCGGAAATAGCATCGAGAAGAAAAAAAACGTTAACCTATACTTGAAGAACCGGGTAAAAACATTTTTAGGCTACATGCTCGGTAAGAGTTCTTTTGTCTTAAGCTGGTTCTGGCATAGTGAGTCCAACTAATTATTTATTAGTGCCCACTATTAATATCTTTTTAATCCATATGATAATCATTACAATAGCTAGGCATTTTGTCCCATTATTCTTCTAGTTTTTTTCCCTTTTCATAACCACCATTATTTGATCCGATGATTGATTTATCTTAATATGGTATATGTTCATTATAGAGACGACTTTGTCAGTCTAATTTGTTCCATTTACAATTTTAGGATTCGAACTCTAGAGATCGATAGGATTCATATATTAGAACACATCGGTTGCAAACAATTGTACCTGCAAATCTAATTATTTGGAACTTTTTTCTTTAAAATATGAGTATAAAAGTGTATTTTTTATGCATGAATATAAGGGCTAAATCATAAGAAAAAAAGATCAGTAAATAGCACAAGAACAAAAGGAATGCATACCACTAAGACGTGGAAAAATAATGTGAATACAACGTGCAGGGGGTGTTTAATGAGTTGAGCAGCTCGAATTCGATTTGGTAAAAACTCGATAAAAACTCGATTCGAATTCGAGCTCGACTCAAGATCTTAACGAGCCGAGTCGAGCAAAGTCCAACTCAACTCGATAAGTTCGCGAGCAACTCGTTAATTTTTTTATTTATTAATTTTTAGTAGTTATCTTAAAAAAATTATTTCATTCAAAAATTACTAAATTACTAATAGATAATAATAAAAATGATAAATTATTAATCTATGAATTTTCTAATAGATAATTAAATATATTAAATTACTAATTAATCATTATTATTTTACTACATCAAAAAATTAAACCCTAATTATTTTAATATATTTATGGATTGTTATTTTGATGTTTAGACTTTAAATTTGTTTCATTCACTCTTTTGGTTAAATTTATTAATTTATGTTTATAATAAGTTTTATATAATATTAGTAGATTTTACTTACAGTTAAAAAATAAAATAAAATTTTTGGTAAGCTTAATGAGCAACGATTTGATCAACAAATTCTTTTAGCGAGTATGAGTCGAGTCGAGTCAAGCAATAAAATTTTTTAACGAGCACAAGTAGAGACTCGCGATCGACTCGCTTGATAATCACCTCTACAACGTGCAAGACAGAAGAATAATTAATGCATCATGCAAAATTGGAGTATGGTTTTGCAATAACATAAAGCACTATTTATGGGTGATTTTCTCCGTCCATCTCAGTTGGTAGAGCGCAAGGCTCTTAACCTTGTGGTCGTGGGATCGTGTCCCACTGTGGGCAATTCATAATACTGGAGTCTCCCACGGAAGCTGCTCTCAACCTGACGTTGGGGCAGCCAACTATCCTACATCCCCCTTACCCCATTACATATGGGAATATGCAGTTAATTCTCTCACTCTTTTACACTTCTAATCTCGTTTGTACTCTGTTTTACGGTCTAGTGCTATTACCTTTATCATAAACAATCCTAGTTTAGCTGCACAAAATGTCTAGAAAAATATTATATCATCTCCTTCATAATACTTATGATATGAATTCGGTGATTGATTTCAATGATAAAAGTAAGTATTATTTTTTAGAGATTTTGAATTCGAGTAATTACGTTCGCAGGATGTATGCGTTCATTGTCAATTGTTTCGGTATAAAAAAGAATATTGATCTACTTAGAGGATCTAGTTTGAACAGATGAATTTAAGAGGGGAGAAAGATAAAGATCATGTATTAACACAACTAATTGGGGTGAGCTGAAATCAACATGTATCCTACCCTCATGGCATTTCGAAGGAAAAAATAAACATACTCGTGTCTCATGCATCCGACCCAATTTTTGCAAAAATATGAAAAAATTCGTATAAACTACCAGATCTCGCGATCAACCGAAAGGTCCCGATTCTTATCAAGATGCCTGGACGAATTGAAAGAGGTTCGGTTTTCTCCCTCTCGCGCTCCATATTTTCTTATTTTGCTCAAGTGATTATTGAAAAAAAAATTATGTTTTTTCTCTTGCAAAACCACAAGAAGCCTGAAATTTGACAAATTGAGCATCATTAAGAAAAAGGATATAATAATATCCAATGCACTAGTGTAAGCTTAGTATGTATTTGTGCCAATGTCATGTTCATGTATTGTCATGCCAACGTCATGTTTATGGTCTTTTATTTATATAATTTTTTGGGTAAACTATGTATTTAGTACTTAAACAATCATTTTTTATCTGTTTTAGTACCTAAACCTTCAATTTTTTTAAAACTATACTTAAATTTAGTTTTTGTTTCATTTTAGTACCAACTGTTAAAAACTTAACTTATTTAGTACCTAAAATATCAATTTTGGTCCATTTTAGTACCTACACTTTCAATTTTTTTCAAAAATTAACGTTAAATTTTGAACATGTGTACTAAAATGAAATAAAAACTAAAATTTAAATATGATTTTGAAAAAAAATTAAAAATTAAAGTATTAAAACGGACAAAACTGATACTTTTAAACACGTAATTTACCCTAATTTTTTATACATTAATAATTCATACTACAATAGATTTTGAGACATTCGTGTATTCTTGCCATGTTTCTTCGGACTGTAAATAGGTAGTTACAAAACATTGAAAAGTTCCTTACAGATGTCACTATCATGAATTACATCTAGGCATAAGCTTACATATTATCAGATTAAAATGAACTATCTGTACCCAGTCAAAACTATTTAAATCCATATATAAAAAGGATGAAAAATATACAGTAAAATATCCAAATGAGAGCATTATGGAGCTTGAAAGCCCTTTTTACCTTTTCCTATTCAAACGAACAGCAAGAATTGAAGTTAGGAAAGTCATTTCTGGAAGAGGAGTACTGGTGGTTGTATTGAACAAACAGAGACGACGTGGAGATAAAGATGGCTGCAGCAATAGTAATTCATAGACATCTGTACAGTTGACTGCTAAATTATAATTCAAAAATCAGGGGGGGGGAAACAGTATCGTGATTCGTGAAGCACCTCTTCACCAGCTCCAACAACGGCGAGAAGACTTGAACTATACAGCATCTCAACAATAATGAAAGTTCCAGCCGATACAAACAAAATTTTAAAAGACAAATAATAAATCAATTATTCGATCTAAAAGCTTCGAAGTTGGAACAAATTCGTTGAAAATCAGTAATAGGCAAAAGAAAACAAATAAAATTTGCGGAATTAACTCACCTCGTTCGTAGCAGAGCCTTCCGGTGCTTGAATCGATAATTTTGAAACCGTCTTTAGTGCTTATTGCAAAACCACTGCGAAGTTGAAACCAAAATAGATAAATAATGTTGATATGATTAAACAGGAAAAAAAGAGGAATTCCAAGTTAAAACTTACCTGTTGTCTTGATTGAATGAAGCGCAGAGGATTGGGTAAGCTGACGAGTGAATGGCCATTATGAAAGTCGTTGCTCCCCGTGGAAGGAATTTCGAAAATCCTTCGCGGGAAACGCATCGTTAAACTTGACTCCCCACCAAATCTGATGTAGGTTCTAATTTCAATTAGCTTGGGAACCCATTACCTAGTAGATTAGTATAACAATTTAAATATCATTTTAAATTATTATTTGATACATTTAGGAAGAATTTATCGAAGAATTTAATAAAACAGCTTTTTATATTTAATGGACCATCAAGAAATTTTATAATCATTTTATAATTTTTATGGCATTTCGGTTTAATGACCGCATGAGAAGTTAAATGATGAAAAGATGACGATATTCTCCGGTCACCTCCAGGCCCCTCAGCGAAGGACATTACATCTCTAAAGAACAAGACAAGAGAGGGGCATTTCAAACTCAAAGGATTCAACTTTGAAGGACCAAATCGAGTGAAAGAGACAAATAGCCAACAACAAGCGCATGCATGACACTGCAAAAGCATCCCCCACCTCACGCTCAGACTCAACAGACCATTTACTATCCTTTCCCTTTTCTTGCAAACACCAAATAAAAACATAATATAACATAACATATTCCATTTTTGTCAAGTCAAAACTGTCAAAATCAGTGTTCGAGTCACTGTTTCACACTTGGGAGCAGAGAATCTGATGCTGTTTTCTCCCTTGGGTCTTATCTCTTTAATCCATACCCAATGCATACCTACTGCCATTTTACTCATTGATCAAAAGTAAGATAAAAACCAACATAAAAGTGTATGATGGATATTTACATTACAATCCCATAACATATATGATCTTAACACCAAAGTTTTTTAAACATAAGCCTGCCACTGCACCTTTTTCTTCTTTCCAAACTTGGGTAACTTGTAAAGAATTCATACTCTATATTTTTAACTTTCACCTCTTTTTTACCTTGGACCGGAGAGTTCCATGGCATAGGAATCCAAAGAATGTTCATCATCGTCGTCATCCATTCCTGTTCCCAGCATGTTGCCTGATTCATCATCATAACTCTTTCCATCATGTTTTGATACAGTGGTAGGGGGTGGCATACTTTTGTTACCGAAGCTGTTAGGAAAGTGGATCAGAGTGGGATTGCTATGATTATGTGATGCCGCCCATTTCTCAGCAAGGCCATCGCCTTCGAGCATCCGGACCACTTCGGACATTTTCGGACGGTGGGCCGGAAGGTACTGAGTGGAAAGCAAAGCCACATGGAGCATCTCCCCCACTTCGATCCTGTCATAGTTGTTCCCTAGCTCTCGGTCCACCAATACTTCACTTTCTTTTCTTGATGTATTTTCTTCACCTGTCACCAAAAATTACCAATGTTTCTCCATCAACTCTCTTCATATATATTATGCTCTAAGCTGATACTTTCATGCAAAGGTATCGACTAATTGATACTAATAGAAAGCAAGAGTTAAGGTTTTTATTGTTGGAGTAAACTAACCCATTCGAGCATTGCTCCTTTCTGACTAACAGTTTTTCCAAACTCGAGAGCTCTCATTCCAGTTATGAGCT